TGGAGTCGTATATAGTTTTGGGTTGAACAAAGTTGTTGTTAGAATATTTAGTTACGTATTTGTGTTGAATTTTATTAAATAATGGTTTGAAGATATTTGGTATTGAATTGTTATTAATTTTATACATAAAAATCAGAAGATGATATATATTTATTTGGTACACATTTAGTATTTTTAGATTGTTAAACAATGGTCTTGAATGTGAGAGGCGGTGTGCATTTGATAATAATCTAATTGCATGTTTTTGTTTGCTAAATAGCTTTTTTATCTTTGTTTTATTGGTGCTACACCAAGCAATGTTTGCATAATTAAGATAAGAATGTATAAATGAGTAATATATGTATTTCAAGCAGGATTGATCTAAGAATGGTTTTGCTTTATAGAGTAATCCAATATTTTTAGAAATTTTATTTTCAATCATGTTTATGTGGTCTTTCCAATTTATGTTTTCATCTAGAATTACACCTAAAAATTTCATCGAACATTCTCTTTTTACGATGTAATCTCCAATAATAAGTTTTGGAAGTTCAAGAGGAATTTTTTCTTTTTTATGGAGGCGATGAAAAATAGTATATTTAGTTTTAGTTAAATTAATTGAAAGTTTGTTCATATTTAACCATTCGGTTAGTTTTAGGAGTTCAATGTTGACCGTTTTAAATAATGCTGTTATATCACTATGAGAATAAAATAAATTTGTGTCATCAGCAAATAAGATAGAATCTAGAATATTAGAGGCTTTGCTTAAATCATTAATATAAATTAAAAATAAGAGTGGTCCTAATATAGATCCTTGAGGAACGCCGCAAGTAATTGTCATATTGTTAGTTTTTTTATTGCCGAATGAAATATACTGTTTTCTATTAGATAAGTAGCTTTTAAACCAAGCTATGTTAATATTTTTGATACCGTAGTTCTCTAATTTTTTAATTAAAATACTATGATCAACTGTGTCGAACGCCTTACTTAGATCTATGAAAACACCTAAAGTGAACTTGTTTTTATCAAAAGCTTGAAAAATAATCTGAACAAGATGAAGAATTGCATGATCAGTAGAGTGTCCTGTTTTGAAGCCAAATTGTTTGTTATATAGAATATTATTTTTTTCTAAATATGAATATAATTTGTTATACATAATGCGTTCTAGTATTTTTGAGAAGCAAGGAAGAATGGAAATAGGTCTATAATTAGAAATATTAGTATTATCTCCAGATTTAAAAACTGGTATTACCCTTGCAATTTTAAGTTTTTTTGGAAAGATTCCTTGTTTAAACGAAAGATTAAATATATGCAAAAGGATTTTTTTAATATAGAAGATACATTTAATTATGACATTACTGCTAATGTTATCAACTCCTTGTGATTTGTTTAATTTTAATGAAAGAACAGCATCTAATAACTCTTTTTCGGTTAACTCCGCATTTTCCATTATTGATTTGCTAGGAGTCAAGTATTTCTCCTTGTTAAAATCACTGTGTTTTAGTTTGGGTGCTAAATTTAGACCTGCGTTGACAAATACGTCATTAAACGTTTTAGCAATTAGAGATTCTTTTGTAATATCTTGATGATTGTAATTGAGCTTTTTTGGAAGACCATTTAACATAATTGTTTTTTTTCCAATTACTTCCTTAATGACTTGCCACGTTTTTTGAGTATCACCTTTGAATTTTATTATTTTATTTGAGTAGTATAACTTTTTTGAAAGTTTTATAATTGATTCAAAGTGACTTTTATATTTTTTATACCTTAGTTCATTTACATAGGTTCTTTTTTTCAGAAATACTTCATACAAACGTTGTTTTTTTTTAGACGATTTTATTATTCCTGGTGTAATCCAGGGGTTTATAAATGTTTTAGTTTTAATAATTTTTGTTACCACCGGGAAAGCTTTATCATAATGATCTTTGAATATCCGAAGAAAACTGTTATAAGCAGTCTCTGCAGTTTGAATTTGTAAAATATCGTCCCAGTTTTCAGAAAATAAAGAATTATTAAAAAGTTCCATAGAAATGTCATTATATACTCGATTTGTAATTAATATTTTTTTGTGAGGGGTGTGTTCGACACTTTTATGTGCAATTATAAATATTGGGAAATGATCCGATATATCGGATATTATTATTCCAGTTTTTATTTTGTTTTTTGTATATTCATTAATTATTATTTGATCGATTGAAGTTGCGCTATTTCTAGTAATTCGTGTTGGTTTATTTATAGTTGGAATAAATCCATTTTGACATATGATGTTCATAAAATTTTTAACATTTTTATTTGTGTCGTAATCAAGCACATTATAATTAAAATCTCCCACAAAGAAGACACGTTTGTCACATAAAACTTTGCTTTTAATTAATTTTTTAAAGTGTTTTTCAAAAAATTTATTATTGCCAGATGGCGGTCTGTACACGACATGTATAATGACGTTTTTTGTGACTTTATTTAAAATTTCGATCGTTAAAGATTCACAATCATTACTAATTACACTAAACTCGGTTAGCGGTTTAAAATTTAAAGAATTATGGATAAAAATACATACTCCTCCACCTATTGTCTCAGAGTTTCTGAGTTGATGAATAACTGTATAGTTTTTTAGTTGATAATTTGAATCTTTTTCAATTTGTTTATCTCGACACCAGGTCTCTGTGAGACAAATAATTTTAAAATTAATTTCAAGACCAAATAAAAAATCTTTAAATTTATCAAAATTTTTACGAAAGCTCCTAATATTTAGGTGTAAAATAGAGAATGCATTAATATCCAAATTTGCAGTAACATTAGAAATATCAGAATTATAATAAGAAGGACATATATTTTTAATGATTTCATCAGTGTTAAAAAAATTAACATCTGGATCTGAATTATTCTCTAAAAGTATATTTTTATTTGTTTGGAAAGCCTTAAAGCTTAAAACATGAAATTTTATATCTTCCATAACAACACGAAAGGTTATACTAACAGAATATATAGAGTATAAAATAATAAAAGGTTTGAAGGTAATTTCCTGAATTCTTTTACTATTAATTTATCGTAAATTACAACCGAAAACATACCATTTTTCCTATGTATCTTCATTTGCTCGAATAGTTTTTTCCTGATAGATGCAGTTTCCAAAGAATAATCCTCGTTGATATATATTCCCGATCCTTTTAGTTTACTCGCACTTTTTAAAACTTGTACTTTGTCTTTGTAATTTAACAGTTTCATTACTATTGATCTTGGTCTACCTGCTTCAATTTTTCCTGACCTGTGCGCCCGTTCAATAACAATTCCTTTTAAATTAAGTTTTTCTTCAAAAATATTTAGTACCTTTAGTTCGGTTTCATCTTAATTTTCTTTTTCATTTTCCGATAATCCCTCTATTCTAAGATTATTCCTTCTTTGTCTATCTTCAAGCTGCCTTAGTTTATTATCTTCCGTATCTTTGCTTGCTGATTTTGATATAATTTTTTTTTCTAATTCGAGATTTTTTTTTTCTTGTATGTCTTGTTTAAAGTTTAGACTATCTTTTATATCTTTTTGCACATTTTCATTTTTTTTTAATCTTTTAACGTAGTTTTTTTGTTCCTCTTTAATTAATGTGTTTTCTTTTTGGAGTGTCGCACACAACTCTTTTATATTAGTTATTGCTTTCAGCAAACCATCAATTCTGTCGTTTGTTAATTTCAAATTTCCGCTTATTAGTTTTAGAATATCATTTTGTTGCTTAATAAACATTTCGTTGAATATACTCCGAACAAGCTTTATGGAAATAATTTGATCATCGTTTGTTAATTTATCCATGACTTTCGTTAATTTATAAAGATTGGTTAAAATAAAATTAAAAAATTAAATTAAAAAAAAAAAAAAAGTTTCTGTGAAAAATTTCAAAATAACCACGCAGAATAAGCACGTCCGTTCACTTCCTTGTCAAATTGCGAATCATGATTTGTACCTTACCAACCCTCAGAAAGTCTAAAACGTATACATAAATAAACGAAATGTTTGACCAAATGTCGAAAATTATTATATCATTAGGAGTTATGTTTGGTTTAATTAACAGATCACATTTAACAAGAATATTTAAAGATTTACAGCAAAAATACTGTAACACTACTCCGGCAAAATATGGAAAAATTGCGATCTGTTAGGGATACGTTAAATGAAATAAATTAATCCCTGATTTTTAAATAAATTAATCCCTGATTTGAGTGTTGGAGATGTCTATAAGTTAGTTTTGTTTTATTATAAGTTTTATTTATATCGTCACCAACAAACTGATATAAATACGAACAAATAGTTTGACACTAGTAACAACGAATATATTAGTGTTGGTTGAGTGATAATATCGTAACTCAGTTCTTCTCAAGATTTTGTATTTCATTTTTATAAACGATTGGCAATTTTAAATACTAAAAATAAACTGAAAGTTATATAAGTGATTCATATAATTAAAATTCTCAATAATTGTGTTGTTCCGTAAAAAGTCCTAATTATCAGTTAATCTTTCATAGGGTATCAACTTTGATTTAATTCTGTAGAAATGTCGCTGTAAATTAATTAAACACAAAGAATTGCAATTCAATTTATTTTGTGGTATCGCTTCCGTAATACAATTTCTTATCTGGTATTATTCTTTTAAATTAAATCTTGCGTGGTAATTATGTTTTTTGTAATTGCCGACTTGCACGATACCGATTAACAAGTGCCTTATAAATAGGTCGCGCAATATATTTAAAGCGTAAAGAATTTAAAATGCCACACATTATGTGACGAAGGCAAACAGTCTTGAATCTTTTAAAAAAACTACTGACTTTATTACAAAATTCACGTTCCCAAGTATATATTAAAATGTAATTATATATATATATATATATATATATATATATATATATATATATATATATATATATATATATATATATATATATATATATATATATATATATGTATATATATATATATATATATGTATATATATATATACATATATATATATATATATAATTTTTTTTTAAATTAAAATATTTAACAGTATTTAAAAATAATATATTAAGTAAGCTTTTGTTCTTTTTTTCATATCTTCGGCTTTTCTCCGTCTAAAATTATAAACAGTAGTTGGTAATAACTTAATAAAAATATATAAAAATAATAATTCATCTGAAAAATACCTTTATTTTTTAGTGATCGATCCGCTCCTCGTGCCAAAAGTAATATAATGACTTCTCCCTAAATAGTAAATGATAAAAACTCGGATTCATATGAGTTAACTATTAATCACTTTGTTCCATTAGCGACATTATAAAGTCACTAAGGGGCTGTCCATTAATTATATTAACAATTTTTTGGCAAACTCTCCCTCCCTCCCTCCCCTTTGTCAATAACTTGTCAAATTTCTAAAGACAACTTTATTAACATTTGATAACCTCTCCCCCCCCCCCCCCATCAAATAAAATTAAATTAAAAAAAAAAAAAACTTTTTTTTCCTTTGTTTATGTGATTAAATAAATTAAATTTATTTTAAAAAGTAACATTGTTGGCGTCAACTTTTCTTGATCTCCCCCCTCCCCTTTATCAGCAAATGTCGAAAATTTTCATACCCCCTACCTCCTATTTTTTTGACGTAACTAATAGATAACCTCTAATAACATTGACCCTAAAAACCAGATAGCCTATTTTGCGCATTACAAATAGCACTCCTAATGGTGTGTATGCCGTAAGTGACCGCACAAAGTGGTAGTTTATCAAAAAAAACATTTTTAAAATTTGTCAAATGGAAATGTTAAACATAATAATGATGTATTTATATCATATATATGAGATAAGCAAACTAGGTATGCACAGCTAATGCAACCTACAGCAAAGTGAGATGCTAATGCAACTGCTAAGTCTAAATCAAATATACATACATGGCCGTGTTCACAAGCCAAATGCAGTGGAGTCTCCCATAAAGTATTCCTAGCATTGATCTTAGAGCCATTATCTAGTAATATCAAAGCTGCTTCTTTGCATCCATGTTCTGCAGCATAAAATAGAGGTGTATTCTAAATATTTAATGCAATGTTAGTAATTAAACAACAGTTAAAATAAATTTTACAATTAAGTGATCAAACAACAACCAAAAATATATTTTTTGCAAAGTGGTGCAAATTATTAGTTTAAATTCAAACAATACCTTTAATATTTGGTCTCGAACATGAACTGTGAGATTAGATTTTTTTATAAGGTAAGCTAGACACTGAATACAAAGTTGATTTAGTAAAAAAATAATACACTAAAAAAACTGTACTTTAAAATAAATGAAATGAAAAGATTCAGCAACTAAAAACCTTAACAGAGTTGTGTTGTGCTGCGTGATGAAGGAGAGTCTTCTCCATTGTCCAAAATTTAAAATCTAAAGTTCTATTTCCAACTATTTCTTCAACCTAGAAAACATAATTAACATAATTAAGCTAAAAAAACATAATTTAAAAAGTAGCTTGACTGTCTGAGATTTTTTTTTTTTTTACTACTTAACCACTATATTACCATAACACAAAAAATCCTTCATGTAAACATGTCACAAAGATTGAGTATAAACATGACATAAAAGCTATAACCCGATATAATAGCCATGATATAAATATTGAGCATGAACAAAGTGAAGAAGAAGAAAAAAACTAACTTTTTGTAAGTCATCAATACCAACTGCTTCCCATAAATCAAGTCTAATTTTATCATCAATGTCCTCCTAAAATGGTAAATGAATAATATAAAGTGTTTTCTATAATGTATTTTTCAAGTAACATAATAATATATATGACATAACTTACTCTCATTTGATCCCCTTGCATAATATCCTCAATATCAGAATCATCCCCAAGAGTTTTTTCACTCACAAAGAACGATTTGCTACTTTCTTCTTCTGGACTTTCTTTAATTGTTTCAACTACTAATGACGGCATATTGCTGTTTTGGTACTGGCAGCAAAGTTTTGATTTACGACGCACATATTCAGGAGAAACCTTAATTCAATTCTTAAAACTTAAAAACTGTGTACTATAAATTCTTTTTCATTTCAAGTTCAACAAGTGAAGTTCAAGTTGCATTGCAAAGTGTACATTTTCAGGCAAAAAAAAAAAAAGATA